AATTTCATGCAGAAATAATATTATTTTTTTTGCTTCTCTTATCTAGTCGATCAAATTGCGTTTTTGTTTTACTACTTCCATTTAATTTTTTGATAAAGATCTTAGATACACAATTAGTTACATGCACAGATTGGAAGTTTACAAAAAAAAAAAAGGCAAACAGATGAGGTTGTAAACAAAATATACAGTAAGAAGAGTAGGATCTTTTTTAAACCGGTAATCTATTATTTTCAGGACAATCAACGTAAAACATTTTAATAATAGTATAGAACTTGATAGTCATAGAAACTCACATGACTCGTTTTGATGATTATTTCTTATTTTTTTTCTTGAATTATTTAAACACCCTATGAAACATTTCACATTTTATTATTTTGCAATTAATCAATAACTTTTAAATCTTTTTATTTGATCGTTGCTTTCATTGAAATTATATATAAATTCGATCATTGATTAATTCGTTTTCTTTTATTTATTTTCTGTCGATTTTTATAATATGTTTATATGTAACATAGAAAGAAAAAGTGATAGATAGAAAAAGAAAGATAGGATGAGTAAAAAATTTCGAAAATATATTAGATAATTACACATGTAATTATTTTCTCGACGTAGCAACGTTACAAACATAATTATTTTTAACTTGTTCTTTCCTCTATGTTGTGTTCTAATAATTTCATTATTTCTTTTTACAACGTTCACACATTGTAATAGACGTGATTCCATTTTTAGAATAAATGAAAATCACAATTTCTAACAAAAGCATGATAGGTATTTTAAATGCAAAGAGAAAAACACGAGTACGGTGTTTAATTCGGTTCGAAAAATTTCGCATCTTATTTATTCTGTTTCTTTTCTTTTGGATAAAATTCTAAAATGTTATGTAATTTTGTATATCATGCATTCTGATTCTATTTTAGCGAATGAATCTTTAATAAGAGATATTTCGTTATCATATTAAATCAAATTAGAGATAGTGAGAGAAAGAGAGATAGAGAAAGAGAGAAAGAAAGAAAGAGAAAAAGAGAGAAAGAGACAAATTTTTGGCCAATAAAAGAATCTTTGTAAGCATAGATTACAGGCATAAGCTATTTACATATTGTTTCTTATCTTTTCTTTTTTGTTTTTTTCTTCACTTACATTTTATATAAATGGTTTAAGATATAATTTTTATAGATGTATATGAAAAAATATTAATATTATAATATTATTATAAACATAATATCGCGCATGCAGAGAAGTTATAATTATTATCGCCACTAAATAATATTATTATATTTTATACATTCTCACATATGCATGAGATGCAACATGACAATATATAGAAGATAGAGATGATATCTTATAATTTTTACAAGATGTCAAAATTCTTCTTTCTTTTTTCTTTTTTCCTTTTTTTGTTTTTTTAACTTTCTTTTCTTTTTCTTCTTTCGTAAATAAATTTACAAGATCAAAGAGGCAACAGTACAAAAAGTAGACGACTCCGAAATAATATTCAATTAGTTTCCAATTATTTCCTTACTTTTTGTATCGATGTCTTTTGAATTGGTGAATAAATTTGTTCTTTTCCCTGTTTCTTTTTTTCTGTCCTTTTTGTTTTTTTGTTTTTTTTGTTTTTAGAATCCTGATAACCCCACATATACATGTATATATTTGTATGTATTTATCCATGTATATATGTATACATATGTATAACTCTTATATATGTATATTTAACAAATTTAATAATTCTAAATTATACAGTGCTTAGATAATAACTCCATCTGAAAATATGTAATGATTAATGAATTAGCAGGTGAGATTTTCCTATAATCATTGTTGTCTCATACATAACAGATCCTGGAAAATATTTCTTCGCATAATGCAAAGGTTTGTTGATTATGACTGTAATGAATGATAGGAATCATTAGTTGTTTTATCTTTGTTTTAAAACATAGGTACAATTTCTCTTATGTCAAAAGCCTTGTTATCTCATCCGCAATTCCTGATAGGAGAGAGTTATTGTCACCTTTACCTTCGATCAACAAATTACCTGTCGATTTCTAAAACATTGAAATAAACATTAGGGCTAACACATCGAAATAATTAAAATTAATTTTTAAAGTAATATAACATTCTATTAAAACTTACATTATATTTTAATAAAAGGCACACATGATGTCCTTTCAATGAATGACCATACAAAGATGCAGTATCATTTATTTGTTCCACGAGAGTGAGATTACATTTGCAACAGACAGTATTCAAAACTGCATTAAATTCCTGAGACGAAAGAATTTCTTTTCTAATTCTAGACACTAGTTGACCGCTTTTAAGTAACTCCGTTAGTATGTCCTTGTGGGACAAATGTCCAATCATAAATTTACTGCATGATAAGTTTATAGTGAAATCAAGTTTTTCTTGTATTGTTCCATCCAGATTTTCCAGCATATACGTTAATGTTCCTCTCAATTTTTGAGCAAACGTTACATCGGATATTAATATTGTAAATTGTGTCTCTTTACTTGATTGTGGAGGTAGTTGGAATGGTAGTTTCATTCCATATTCTTCACCATCCTGTAAAAATAGAAAAAAGAACATTTAAAATTTTCATTTAACAACACAAACAAATTATATATCTTAATAATAATAAAAGACAAAAGATTACATTTTTCATTAATTTCAATGTTGACGTATCCGTAATATCGAACCTTATTTCTTTAACAAGCTTTTGCCCTATATTAGTAATGAGTATTGATACAATTATTTTACTAGTGTCATCAGCAACTTGCTTTAATTCATACATCATAGAAATAGTTTTATTCTTAGATAATTTTTCATAAGCGATCAATGGTTGAATGGAATTCAAACTATTTTCAGTAATAACTAAATCATTCCTTAATTCTGGCAATATTTCTTTGGAGGGCGTAGATATACCAGCTGTTTCTTCATAATCGGACGATTTTTTTTCTTTCTTACTTTTGGATTTTTTGGATTTTTTATGTTTCATATCGTCATCCTTGACTTTTTTATGTTTCTCCTGATTCTTAGATTTCTTTCGCTTACTATCCTTTCGTATATCTACATTTTCTTTACTATTCACTTCTGTGTAATCTTGAATAGAGGAAGAACCTACTTCTTCAATATTATCTTCTAACCACATATCAGTCATATTTATTTGATTATCAGCCTCTTTTTCTTGAACACATTTACTCTTTCTTTTAGTTTTCCTATGACCCTATTGATACAAATAATAAAATATATATTATATTCTCTTTTATATACGTCATATGTAATTAAACAATCATACATTTATAATATATACAAAATGACTAAAAAAAAATAAGGGATTCATAACTTCTAAGATAGACAGTTTTCGCCAAATGATAAAAAAAAAAAGTCCTAATAAATATGTATCAAAAAATGAATATCTTCAAAGTTAAAAACAATATTTTGTTTCAGTTAAAACAAATATTTGATGAATATTATCTACTCTAGAAGTTATAAACCCTTCTTTTTTATCACCCTATATATCAAGGAAGGAAAAACAAAATATTACCTTATCTTTTTTTATTGTCTTCGCTTCTTTTACTTTCTGATTTGGACTATTCTCTACTACTCTGTGTTCCAAAACCGGTAATCTTTCATCCTCTCTTAAAGGCATGTCTAAATCGATATTTAAAGCTCGATGAGGATCATTTGCATCGATCATATCATAATCATCGCTATCACTTATTTCTGCTCCTGGTGGAAGTTCACCAATACCTGTATTTACAACTTGCATAGGATAACCTTCTTCATGTTCATCTTCCGATGCAGATTGTTTATCTAATAAGAAAATAATAGTAAAAAAAAAAACAAAAAAAAAAAAAAGAAGAAGAAAAGAAACAATGCATAAAAATAATAACATAATAACGTATCTTAATCGATAATTAATAATAAAACATACTCTTGCATAATGTTAATGTGTAAAAGAGAAATATTTACTTTTTTTCGATTTCTTTTTCTTGCCATGTTTTTTATGTCTCTTATGATTATTATCCACATTCATATTGTGATATTTACTGGTATCAGAATAATTCGATATTTTTAAAGATACCGGTATGTCTAATTCAGCAACTGGAATGTTTTCAAAGTCTTCGTAAAGAGACGTTGAATTATGATAAGAAGCGGAGTTTTTAAATGATCCTTTCAAATAATGAGGATTATTTTGCTGTTCCAATTTTCTGGCCTCTCTTCTCTTCTGAAGTTCTTCTACCGTAAGTTCATTAGTTTCTCGTTTCATAAAGGAATTATTAGATTTTTCTGATTTAACAAATATTTCGTTCATATCCATATCTTCAGAATCAGAGCTCTCTGATGGTGGATCGTTAATCCACGAATTTAAATCTAAATCATCAGGGATAGGTACCTAAAAAAAAATGTGTATTAAAAAATTAATTAATATTAAAAGAAAAAATATTTATAAAATATATTTCCTTTTTAAGAAAAATAAATAATATATTGTATACCTTTCTTTGAGCTTTAGGAGCGACCGGATTAAGTTCACCTTCAAATGCTTCCATTAATTCTTCAGCCAAGCCAGGATTTTCTTTCAAGCATTCAAATAAAACTAATGCTGAACTAGATCTTTCTTGAACTTCCAAGTCACCGCTACACACAAATGCTGCTATTTTATCTTTCAATGAAAAAATCTAGAAAATCAAAGAAAGATTATAAATATATTGGTTACGTTAATGTTTAAATCTAAATGCAATCATTTAATGATATACAATGATTTTATGCATAAAAAATAATATCCAATAGATTCATAAAAGAGTATAATTTACTTGTTCCATCGTTTCGCTGTCACCTTCTTTCTCTGCTTTAGATAATATTGCCGTAGCAAGTTTTAAAATATTATGCACATAAACTGCTTGAATATGTCCTGGCAAACTGGATGCTTGTGATCGCAACATCGATTGCAAAGTTGCTAAAGAATCTTCTAGTTCGCTATTGATATTATAAATTTTCAAATGAAAATTAAAATATGTTATTAAATGAAAATATTATACTATATATATAATTTATTACCTAGAAAATTCTCCACATATCCAAGCAGCTGCATATAAAACTTCAGACATAGTAGCTCGTGGTTGACCAGTCAAAAGATAGGAATTTTCAAGTAGTAAGGCACATTGGTGAACTGCATATTTACGTATAGCTTGTACCCGGATCGCTACATCAAGTAATTGAGTGGCTACTAATGGTCCATGCTTGGTGCCTTCCATTCGTGTGAGTTCCACCAATACAGATATGTACCTATAAATACATAACTTATATACAAACTTCTCGAGTATCCATTTAATTATTACCATAAAAATATATTATTAATTTACCATTCAAAATATGTTATAAATTGGTAATTATTTTGAGAACAGATTTGTATGATCTTTGATAGTAATTCATCTCTGTATGTAGTGCCTTCAGCTTTGTCCATGTGCACCATTAATTTTTTAACTATTTCCATTAAATTCTTCTTAGATACCATTCCATACAATAAATCCAAGGCACGCAATCTTATACTTTCATCTTTATCATCGAGACATTGCATAATAAGATCTTTATGAGCTTGTACGCTTTTAGGATGTGTCCTTAATATTTTTGACATTGCTAACAAGCCCAAATATTTTAAATTTTGATCAGAATCTTCTATTAATATTCTTAATTTCTGCACGCAGAGCTGTATTGAATCTGAATGATTTGGCATGCCAGACGATATAGAAATCAATACAGCTATTACAGTGTTGATGCACTCATATAGTAAAGACATAGCAGATGTACTAAAAATAATAAAAATAATTTTATTAATGATATTAATAACCTACTCATAACACTTATTAATAATCCTTGTTAATAAAAGCTATAGAATAGCCGAGACAAACATATACATATTTATATTATATAACACATGGAACTATTTTACTCGCTATGATAAAATCTAAAATTATTGGGATATATGGGAGGGGAAAATATCAATATAAATACGTTAAATACCTGTGTATCAAATTGGTAAGGGGTTCTATTAGCTTTTTGCCAAGCCTAGGTTCTAGAGGTGTCAAGGCGCCAAACTGTAAATATAATTTTAGTTGCAATCTAAGCAATATGTAATAACAAACAATATAAATATTTATATATATATATATACATATATATATATTCTATAAATCATTTATAGACAACACAGAATAAAATCAATAATGACGATACTTTTATACTTCTACCATATCTTTACTACTACTATGTGATCTAAATTAAATATATATCAATGCTTTTTTTTTATATCAAAGTAATCAACTAGTAAAAAAACCTTGAAATCAGGTCAATTAGTGGTTGAGTAAGTCGCCGACCCATTTTCGGCTCAATCAGTGTTATAGTGGAGAACTGAGCATGTGAAATAAGATCAACATTACTAGGCTCGAAGTTAAAAATGATATATATAAGTATATATGCATTCATTGATAACAGCTCTTATGTCTTTTTATATCAATTTTAAATCTTTCTGTGTGTTTAATTGATCAATCGATGTAATATTACAGAACAGACTTACCAATTTGATTATTTTAATGAGCATCCAATTATTAGTCGACGTTGTCATTAATTTGAAAAATACAGGCGCCAAGCTTAAATAATTTTTTGGATTCTTCCTTGCTAACTCGCAAACTACATTGACTGCAGCAGACTGTACACCACTGTCAGGATCTTCAAGTTTTTCTTTCAATCTAGGAAAAGCAGGCCTTAAAGCTTCTGGAAATCGCAAGAACACCTTGTACATCATTAAAACTGCTTTCTTCCGTAAATATGGCTTTGTAGATGTTAATAAAGTCATTATATCATTAACTAAATCACGTGCCAGATCTGGACTTATAAAACAAGATAAACCACTAAGAGCCAATCCAGCGTCGTATTGATTTTGACTATTTAAGTCTTTGCGTATCATGTTTGTGGTCAACATTAAAAGCTGTAAGAATTAAATTAATAAATAATTCTTATTCACACATTTTAAAATGAAATTATTTATTCAAAGCTATTTGTATGTCGAATAACGAATAGAAATCATACCTCTGTATCTGCGTGAAAGCTTTGACTACCTGCTAAATATCCAATACGTTTATAGGTGAATTTGGCAGATGACATGACCTCAATTATATTAAATCCAGCCCAAGTAATATCGTAGCCTAACATTTGCAACTATAGAAATATAAGTAGTGTTAGTAAGTTGTACTATAGATTTTAATAGAAAACAACATAATTATCTAGTTAGAGATAAAGTGATACTTTCAAATTAGCATATGAAACCCTCACTTACATATGTTAACTTAGCAACTGCATTAGCCTTTACCGCAATATTATCCTGGCGTAATTCTTGTTTTATTTCTTCTATACATTGTGTAATATATTTTGCCTAACGCGATAACAAACAAATTCATTATAAAGAGATTTTTTTACCTTTAATTCAAAATTATTACAAAGTTAGGTTAAGTTACGTGTCATTTTTGTTTTTTATAAAAATAAAAAAAAATGAAATATAGACAAAATTATATATAAAATTTAATGAATATTTACCTCATTCTCTTTGTTATTTCTAATGCCACGTACTAAATCCGTCAAATTTTTGTCGAACATTCGTTCGAAATTTCCTTTTACTTTACGGAGAGCCATAACTGGTATTTAACTGGTTAGATACTAGAACGAACTCTCTTGATTACTCGTAAGGTTTCTTTCTATCTTTCCTTAATATTCCGAGTTAATCGGATAAATTGCATCGATTGCATTACCGTACGATTAAAAGTTCTTTACACTTCGCACAAGCAATATCTCTCATTTACATTTTAATTTGACAGGTAGGTGGATATGAGAACTACCAAAAGATCATACCTATCATATGTATTACATATGTAGTACCAAAGACTTGTTAAGAATAGATGTATACCCGGTGTTTACCAACGAAATTCACGACAATTTTACGAATATATTTGATTTTTTATTTGATTTGTTTTATTATTATTATTATTATTAATATTTAATTTTGTTTAAATTTATTTTTTTTCTTTTATTTTTTCAATACCAGATTACTGATTTATTGTTAAACGCGTGGACAATTGTTAATAATAAGTGTGCGCATGAATTTTTGATTGATTAATACCCAATCTCTCAACAAGCTTATCTAATAGTCGAATGATGATAACCCAACACTCCCCTAAACAGATCATTCTCGTAGACAAATTAACATTGATAAATTAACATTCTTACTGCGATGATAAAGTAGATTATTATTACAAATATCTATAGATAGATACATAGTTTCGTGTCAATCTTTTTTTTTTTCTTTTCTTTTCTTTTATTTTTATTTTTTTTTTTTTCTTGGTCACTCGAAAATATCAATTGAAAAATAAAATCTACGTGAAAGATGATAAAGTTCACGAGAAATATGAAGACATTTATCTATTTCTATTTTTGTCCTTTGTCCTTTGCTAATATTTTTTTTTCCTTTCTTATCCAGAGTAAATCTCGAGCCAACTTGAAGGCCTATAAATTTGAATGCAAAGAAATATAACTTTTTTTGTCGATATATATCGAACTATGCATTACGATACATAATCTTAAGCATAGATTGGTCGATAACTTTAAATTTCATTGGATGATTTTTAAAGCTAAATACTTATTGAGCTATAAAAATAATTTGTGTTTAATGTTATTAAAATAATAATTTCTATTTAAAATGATTTATACATTTTCAAATTTTTTTCTCCAAAAATCAGTCTTACCAATAAAGACACATAAAATGAATTGAATAATCATCGAAGATACGTCGATTTATACCAACTAATAAAAATTGTGTTGCACAAATAATAAAATCATTAGATTACTTCTATGAATATATAAACATCTAAATAAATTCTATGTACGTATACGCATATAAAGAAATTCAATCGAAATTTTATGTTGGTACTGTTCGTTTGCAACCAATGGGCATGCGTATGGAGGAGGTATCTCCTATGGTTCTCATTGGTTGAAACAGCTGGCGCTTTCTTACTCTTGTTTGACGTAACATACATTTTTTTTTTTTGTAAAAAGACTTACAACTACTAACTCTATACGTAAGAAGGAAAAAAAACAGAATAAGATAAAGCATTCAAGTATTAGCGTAGAAATTCAAATGTTTTTTATTTACAGTCAACCACAAAATAAATTTGTCTACTATAAATATTGAAATCTTACAGTTTTATCTGTAACCTTGAGCAAATGAAAAGTGGGGATGGATGGAGCGAACAAATCTTCTCTCTTATCCCTCGAAAATTAACCAGGGAAAAAGGACCCTATTTAAATTTAAAATCGAACATAATCTACTTATATAAAGTATATTAGCATATAAATTTAAATCTTATTTAGTTTTTAATAACTGACATTAAAGTTTAAATTAATCAATATTCACAAAATAAGATCTCAATAGTTATAATTATGTATTAAGAAAATAAAATTGTTTTTTTATAATTTCAATATATATTTTTGTTTGTATTCCTCATTTCATAAAAACAACATATATGTATGTAGATTAATAGTTATTTATTATATAATATTAAAATATAAATAAAACACTACACACAAGTCATTAATTTCAAAAACTCCGAATATTTATTGAATGAAATAGGATTAAAATGATCTGATCAAACTAGATTAATTCTATCCATAATTGTCCATAAAAGATAAAAATGATTAAAGAAGTAGCGCTAATGTATCTTTTATAAATGGACTTTGTACATCCAGCTCAATTTAATAATTTGCATCTTTTCAGGGACATTGAAACTTACAGTAGAAAAACGTAGTTGTATTAAACACAGTCGTATAAAATAATAAAGTTTTATTTAAAATGAAGTTGATATTGTTTAGCAGTGTATTTTTAGCATGTAATTGCATTATTTTATGTCAAGATGTTGTATTTCCAGATAATTATGACAAATTACATCCAAATAAAAATAAAGCAACAGTATGTGTTACTATACTAAAAATATGATATACTCTATAAAAATAAATTCATTATATTGTGAAATGAAAGAATGTATTATTTTTATGTTAAGGTAGGGGATCGTTTAAGTGGATCAATACCGAATGATTGTCCCAAAAATATGGAACTTTATTCTATTGAAGGAGATAATGTTCCTGTATGCGATTGTAAGGCAAGATTCTTATACCTTCCTTCAAATGATTCTTGTTATGAAGCTTATAGACAAGGACCTTGTCCTCCGAATTATTACGTTGCTCTTCCTCAAGGAGAATCAACTGCACAATGTGTTAAAAATCCATGTTTACAAGATGGTTTAGTTAAATACAATAATATATGTTATCCTGTTAAAACAAAGGGTGGTCCTTGTGAGCCCGATGTGCTAGGTATCAATGAAATTACTTTTCAACTGGAATGTAAAAAAGCCGATATTGCACCTCATATAATAATTGGAGCTCCTTTACTAAATAAAACCAAGGTAGAACCATGTCCTCCAGGCTCTCGTAGAACTACACGTGGCAAGTGCAGGAAACCAGTACCCATGTATATTTCCCATTAAATTCAGAATGCAACAATGTTACATAAAGAATACTAACAAAATAATTTACTTTTTACTGAAAAGGTGAAGGTTTTTTTACTACATCTACAATTCTATTAAATCGTAGATATTATATGAAATATACATTTATGTATATATTAATAAAGATATTTTATGCACTTAATTAATTTTTTACAAGTATCTGCAATATTTGAAGAAAATTGTTAAAGTTGTATTTACTTGTAAACTTTTATACTGTTAAAGTTATATTTGTTTTTTATTGTATCAAAAAACGATATTAAATAAGTTTAAAAAAATAATTTGAATTATCAATACAAAAGTTATACCAGTCATTATTATTCTCCTTAATTATTTCTTTAAATTATTTTACTATTAATTATCGTTAATAACATTATCGATGCTACTACTTATACTCGTAACTGTGATAAAGAAAATGAAAAAACAAATACTTGACTAATGTAGTGCGTTCCGGTTTTTAGATTTGAATTTTGTTAAAACTGGAGGTATTTAAATATGTAAAAATTTAAAGAATAGAAATTATTTATAAAGGCTGTATAAACAATTTGTGGATATAAATAATTAATAATATGTTTCATGTGTGTATCTGGTGCATTCAAGCAATATCAGTTAAAGACAAGAAAAAACTTTTACTAATACAAATATTTAAATTCAAATTAGAAACAAAATATTAATGTTAGACATTAACTTGTATTTGATGTGAGGCAATTATATCTACAATTTTCAAATTATTCTTTGATGGATACTTCGTTTGGTACTGTAACTTGTGGTAAAACAAAAATCAACAATGATAGTAAATAAAAAGAAATACATTGATATATAAAAAATTGCTATCCTATTTATTTAGATTATATTATTATTAGTTAATTTATAAATATCTTTTCGAATATGATTGTTCTTAAATATCGATTCATTTTATTATCGAAATTCGAGTGAAAAACTAATCCATCTTACTTATAATACTTTATATGACGTATATATATATATATATGTATTATTAAAGATTGGATATTAAAACTTAATATTATTCATTTCTTAATTATTAAAAAACTGTTTTAATTTTTTTATTAATAAAGTGTTTAGAAACTAGTTGAATATTTTTCTGTCTGGATACTTACTTTAGATCTGTGTATGTTCTGTGCGGTTCTGTTACTTGGGTTGATAAGTAAATTCATATATAAAGTATTATTCTAATAAATTAATTATATTTAACTTCAACATGCCTGGTGAACTAACAGCAGATGCGATTACTTTAGAGCTTGGAGGTAATTTTTATTTAAATCATTTTATTAAACTGTTATTTATTAACCATTTTAGTTAAATTATTTAAATCTAACCTCACTTTATGTTACATATGACTCATTTATAAATTGTATATTTACTATAATAAATTAGTCTCTGTTTTCTACTTATTTATGTTTTTTAATAACTATTGATTGAAATACTTTATGTTATTAATAATTTCTAATAATATTTATTGATTAAGTGTGTATATTTGGTATCTTTTTACAGCTCAGGAACCATGGCCTCAAATGATACAATTGTATCAACCATTTGAAGTAGAACAAATATTATTGCCAGACAATGCTAGTTGTCTTGCCGTCCAAGCTTTTCTCAAAATGTGTAATTTAGAGTTTCAAATAAAATCAAGAAGGGATGCCGAATATATGTCACCAACCGGTTCTTTGCCTTTCATTAAATGCGGTGCATTTGTATTATCTGAGTTTGATAATATAGTGTCGTTTATTTCTAACAAAGGAACAAGTTTATCCAATCATTTAAAACCTGAAGATAAATCAGATATGAAAGCTTATATTTCATTAGTCAATAATGTTTTTGTTAATGCTGAACTTTACATTTGTTGGGTTGATCCAACAACATTAGAAGAAGTAACTAAACAAAGACATGGAAGTGTTTATCCTTGGCCTCTTAATCATTATTTAAATTGGCAAAAGAGAAAGCAAGTTATAAAAAGGCTCAATGTACTTGGTTGGTATAATAGAACTTTAAAGGAAGTCGCTGATGAAGTTCAAAACTGTTGTGTGATATTATCGGAAAGATTGAATAAAAGAAACTTCTTTTTTGGTAACGAGTAAGTAGTTTTAATATATTATACACTAAACATATAATTCCATTTTCATTTTTATATCTACTAAAAGTAACAGAATTATAATACTCAAATATAACTTGTAAGACCCACAGAATTTGACGCTCTGGTATACGGTCATATAGAAGCCCTTTCCAAATTCCATTTCTTCCCATCCACGCAAGAAATTTCCACAATTATTCATACATTTCCTGGACTTATGGAACATACTTATAAAATCAATAATATTTACTTTAACCAAAAGTTAGACCAAAAGAAAGAAGATACACTAGAAAATGATTCTCTTATAAAAGACTTTGAAATAATAGAAAAACCATCAGAAGATTTTTTGTTGTATAGCTTAGATTCTCTTGAATCTCTTCCTTCATTATCAGAAGATTCATTCATTCTATGAATATATTATTGTTCATTTATATATATAAATTATCTTTCGAAATAATACATGTGTGTGTGTGTGTAGAAGTTTGTATTGAAATATACACATTTTTAAAATCCACAACGCGTTTATAGATTTTATCTATTAATTCTAATATATTCATAATATTAATAATATTCTTTATTGTTATTTCTATAATAATATTAATAATTATTATTATTAATTATTTAGAAATCCAAACGAATTGGATGCCCTAGTTTTTGGGCACATATTTACGATTATTACAACACCTCTTCCAAACAACGTACTGGCGAATATTGTTAAGAATTTTCCATCGCTCGTGAATCTCTGCAAACGCATCGAGAATAGGTATTTTCAACGTTCGGATGATTAGATAAGGCTACACTCGGACTGCAAGTATATTGAATTGAGTTATACTGATTATAGCACAATGAAGTTCCTATGTTATGCAACAGATGCTACTAAAGATGAAAATATCAGTAGAAATATTTGCAATATACAATAAAAACATTCATTTATATATAATGAATATCCATAAATGGATATTACATTTATTGCAAATTTTATTATTACATCAATAAAATACATGAAGTATAAAATAAAATCGAAAAAGAGATATTAACATCAATATACTTGAAGTTCGAGTTAAAAGATAATATGATGAATCACATATTGTAATTGTTAACAAGATAGCTGAATATATATTATTAATCACACGTTAGTGTTGAATGTAGAATAATATTTAGTTAATAGATAGCTTATAACAAATATAACATTTTTCAGCATTTTTCCCTCTACAAACATTATCAGTCTAATAGATTAACAAAACGTTGGAGGCGAGAGATAAGTGACACATCTAAGGAGAATTGCAATTATTGCAACAATATATAAAACTTATACAAGGTGTTTTTATTGCTCAGCGAAAAGTTTTTTCTTTATTTTTGTTTTTTTGTTTAGGTATTATTAAAACATTAATTATAGTAATACTCTGTTCTCATATTAAAAAGATGAAACAGTTATTTTCTATATACCTGTGTATAATGTTCATGCTATTTATACCGATATTAAGTATACAACATATTTGCATCATATATAATGCTTATAATTTTGTTGATAATAGTTAATAATTAATAAGTAAACAGATGATAATAATGGTATAATTTTAAATAGAAAATTTGTCTAATCTCATATTTTTTAAGCTTTCTTTTTAAAATATATACTTTTCTGTTAATCTCAATACAATTATTGATAAAGGACAGGTAATTACTATTTAAAGTGTTATATATATTGTGCTTGCTAATACTATGTTTTTAGTTGAAATACAATATGCATCTGTTAAGCATGTTTTTAAATAATAGAACAGAGTAATATAATTCTTTTTGAACAAAAATCTTTTTTCAACAATTTATTTAACAAATTTATTTTATATTTTTCTCTAGTCAATTTTATTATAAATCATTTGACGTTTAGAATTATGTTTAAGTAATATATGATAATATTTAAATTATAATCATAACGAAACTTTAATATATATTCTGTCATAACATATAAAGTAATGATTTTTATAAATAATATTATATTTATTATATCAAATTCTTTAATCTGGTATTGGAACTATTATTATCAAGTACTGGCATTAGTGTGTAAATGTATGTTACATATTACCGTTTCCTTTGTTATTTCTTAAAGATTTAATAATAAAGATAAAAGAATTTGAAATAATATTAACAATAATGAATTATTCAAAACGAGACAATATAATTAATATCTTAGAATAATATTTATCTGCAAAGTATGTTGAAATTTTTGTATCTCTTACATGACTTTATTTATTTTCTATGGAGTTTACCATTTTGGGAAAATTTTACAAATAAAAATTGTGTACATTTAATATTTGTGTCACTTACCTGTATAGTAAACATGTATAACAGTTAACATTTATTTATCATTAGATACATGTTTCTTGTGTCCAGCGTTTCTGTTATTCTTATAGATATTTGTTATATATTGTTTTAAATGTTGATGTCATTTATATCTGACTTTTTTCAAATGCATACATAAACATTTATTATTAAATTTGTTAGAATTAGATATTGTTGAAGAAATGTTATGTTAAATAATCATGATGGTGTAAAATATGACATTGAATATAAAAAATATAATAAAAATATCAACTTATATTCAATATTATATGTATTATTATTATTTTATTAGAATAATGATTTGATAATTAATCTGGTACAATGAGTAAAATATATTTTGTGCTATTTAATAATTAAAATAATATCAAAATAAATGACCTGTTAGAAATAGATATACATTAAAAAGAATTGATAAAACACATTTTATGCAAGGAAAAAAACATAATATTATACATATTTATACTAAAAGGAAAAAAAGAAAGAAAGAAAAGATAATATTTTGTAACATAATCGAAGAAAGTAATCTTGTGTATTTATCTTTTATCTTTCAAATGAAATCTTGTCATTTCAAATTGAATTAGAATTACGATCAAGAGACTTTTTGGCTTAAATTCTTGCAAAAACATAAGGTAATAAACAATCCTAACACACACATACACAACATTTCTTTATTTTGGATAAAAAATAAAAAATATTTAAAAAAGAAAATCAAGGTTTTGTAAAAATCAATTCATATATCATGATTATTGGAGTATGACATTTTCTAAAATTTTATTATTAGCATTAAAGATTCTCACAATTATTTTCTAACATTACTGGTTGAATGTACTGCTTTACAGGTAGTTAATATTGGTATACATGTTTGTATAGAATAACTCAAAAAATATGCAACAATTGATAATGAAAGAATATATAAACTTTTGATGTATATGAAATGTTAATAAATGCATATGGTAAGCATATATTATAATAATATGATTGAAAATTGATGCAATTTAAAATTTGATGCAAACCATGTGCGTGTGGTTATTTTTTGTATGGAAATCATAAAAATTTCCAAGACAATACATTTCTCGATATAACGTTATGTATTATCTTTGTTTTTTTGATACAGATTATAAATTACATATGATTTTATAAACCTGTATTTACCTATCGTGTATAATTATATAATTATATTACACACACACATACATATAATTATATAATTACTAATATATTCTTATCCATAATGTATTCTTCAAACAATCTTCAGGCTATAATACTTTATAGTAACAATGTAATTAACCAAAGTTTTTTCAGTTTATTAATCATTATCAGAGTTGAGATCATATTTTTCACGTAACTATGATGAGTATGTCATTTTTCTATATATTTATAAGCAAATAGTCTCCAAGTTGATATTTTGTCCTTTATTGAAATAACAATGATTTCCCATAATGACTTAAGCTTAATAAAATACATTTATAGTAAAACTATTTTAAAATGTTCCCATAAAAGCTTTTACTAAATTTGTGAATACGAATTACTCTCATCTTTAAACAACTCTACTGCCAAATATTTGTAATATAATTAACATTTTGTACTTAAGGTACATATTTGATAGCTCATTATTCGTCTCTGAATATTGTACTCTATAATTTTTACTCCCACCATTTTGCACGTTTATTGTAAATTCATCTGTATCTATTATAATTATAAGTATATACTTAAAATGTACTTAAAAGTTAAATGCAATGAAAATAAGTATAATTGTGTATATTTGGAAGTCAGAAAATGTTTGGAGATTTATTCGTCTATGTTTACATGCTTCTAAACAAATGTTCTTGTATTTACTATGAAAAGTATATGTATGTGAAAAATAAATGACGCTATTTATTCATTGTTGCAATGCCATTAATTCGAGAACAAGAATGAAGGAGAAAAGAGAGTTGACATATTAATAGAAAGATTATAACATTTCAAACTTTTCAAATATCATTTTTCTTATTTTCACACACATTGTCTTTTAGAGTAATATTATTAAATATTAATTATAATTAATATAATTTATATTATTTTCTCGGAAAAAGAAAACAATTTGATAATTATATGTTCTCTTTTCCCCCATATTCATAAATATAGTTTCGAATTATATTCTGTATAATTATTACTCATTACTAACTTTGATAAATTATATGATTTACTAGAATAACAAGAGTACATAATGAACAAAACAAATTGACGCAACAATAATTACATCATACTTTTAGGAAATATTTTATATGTAGAATATATCATATTTTATAATATAAAAAGAATAAAAAGAAATGCATAGTTCCTTGAAAAAATAAAATCATTATTTTCAGAAATTTTATTGGACTTAAATAAAAATGCATTATATATAAAAACTATTGTTATAGAATACTATTACCGAAAGGAACTAATTTTATAAATAATGTAGAAAATTAATGAATTATATATATATATATATATATATTTATATATTGTATATAGATAAAGTATTAAATATTATTTATGATATTGTTAGACATATTCAAATAATGAAATTAAACTAAATAATAAAATCAAAGAAATAGAAATAAAATTTAAAAAAATAAAATTTCAAAAAAAGAATAAAAAAAAAATAATTTGTAAATCTGCATTACATAAGATCGTAATTAGTAATGCTAATGTTGCGATACCACTAAATTATTAGAGAACACAGATCTGATATATAAAGAAATTTGTAATCTTGGTGCAACATGAAATCTTCGAAGATATTCTTAAATTTATGTTGTATTTGTATTACTATGTAACGGTAGACATTCGAAAGTGATTCCATTATGGAACTGGAAAGATGAACTATCTCTTAAGATTGCATGAAACTGTTCAATGTCGTTCACTAATATTTGTTATATTTATGGATAAAGATAATTAGTGAAATATCAATAAACTTTTTTTGTAAAGTGTTCCTTCCATTAGAGAAACAATTATCCTTTAAACAACAAATAATGTTTATAGACCTTTCAGGTCTATGAATTTCGTTCTATTCTTCATCAGGCACACTCTCTTAAGACATTGCATTGAATATAACGTTACACGCGTAATGTGATATACGCGTATAGAATAATCGTTTGCTTTTTTTCACCACGGATATACACATTGCACACATGCTTTCACGCACATCTGAAGACTGATAATAGGATTTATTATTTTTTTTTTAATCCTATATTTCAGCCAGTACTAAATTTTTATATGGTACCTTAATTAATCTGGTGGTAAAAAACTGAACAATCGGAATTGTTCTCTAATGTGTGGTCTAACATCTCCACCCTATAAAAAAAAAGGATATAAATTTATTTCTTACATATATTCACGCGATAATACACATAAAACATAACATACCCAATTAACTAAATTTTCTAAAAATGGTAATAACTTCATTAGTTCATTATCTGAACGGTCAGCAAACCAGCTTTCTATAGGGATGCCATTTTCTAACTGTATAAAAAAAACAACAAAAATTTAATTAATATGAATTTGAAGATAATGTTAGGAAGAAAATAAAACTTACCTGATATCCAAATGCTTGAGGGCTATTATCGATGATCACAGTTTTAGATAAATCTCTTCCAAGTATAGATAAATCTTTAATATAATTTCCATTAACACATACACAATGTTCTCTGAATAAGCGATATTTAATTAATTTTCTTGTTGGGTCCAAAAGGTTCATTAATTTGTTTGCGTATACTCGTTTACTTGCAGTAAAGAGTATTACTTCATATAGCGCTGAAACGTGTTCCAAAAATTCTCGAAAAAATGGTCGTGTTCTAACAAACACTGTGTATGTTATATCTTGAAAAACTACTGGGAATTGAAATGCTGCATCAGATAACTCTTGCAAACTACAATGTACGAGAGTTTCATCCTACAATAAACAAAAATTATTATTATAATTTAACAGCTGGTTATCTGTAAAACAAAGGTATTACATACCAAATCTAATACTAAACTAAATTCTGGACTACTTCGTGTTTTAAGAGGTAAAGCCGGACATCTGGCTCTCATTGCTGGTGTCAAAGGTGGTAAATGTTTAATAAAAACATATGGATCAAATGGCTCCCATTCTTCTTGTACTTGAGTAACCATATTTTCGACATCACAAGTTTCTACTATCTCTTCGCTACCAACTTCCATATATTCGGCGTCATGATATTCGCTGTCAATATCTTCAGCATCATATTTCATATTAATGTTATCATTAGTATCAGAAGGATGATGACCATCTATATCATATACACTTGCAGAAGTATTATATTTTGGAGTGGAAAAATCCACAGTTCCTTCAAATTTGAATGAATTATTTTCAATGGTATACTGACTTTTTGATATACTACTATTGTTCTCATTGTTATTGATAAACGGATATTTTCCACTTCCAAAATATTTCTCCGATGAATATGTAGTGCGAGTGCTATACATTGATGTTGAGTTCATTAAGCTATAATTTTCATCAGATATTTCATTTGGTAAACAAAGTGCGGAGTAATGCAATGACAGAATATCTGCAAAATATAATATTATTAAGAAGATTTAAATTTATATATATGCATTATAAAAATCAAAAATGAAATATAATATAAATGCATAGTCATTGCACCTGTATTTCTATTTCCTTCGTCATCAAGAAAACATGTAAGGTCTAAATGAGATCCTAGAGATGCTGGAGGCATTAGATCAATCAATGATGATGTTCCTGCGGGTGAAAATTTAAAATCCTGTGATGGTGTTGGTGTACAAAACAAATCTGTATTTAAACTTGACGAATGAAGTGACAAAATCGCTATATTCCAGTTCTCCTTGGATTCTTCAGAAATTTTAGATTCTACTGTTTCTTTCGGTGGCTACAAAAAATAACATGTAATTCTTATGTTATCAATGAAAGCAGGTTTAAGATAGAAAAGTAATATCATCAAAATAGAAAGGAACAATAAAAAAATGTTTCCTCATTGTAAACTTACTAGAATAATATCCTTCTGTGTAGTGCGATGTAGAGGAGTTGATGTGACCATGGATCGTTTTATACATTTTCTTCTACGAGGACCCCTCTCACGTCTACTAGGCGAGGTTTTGGCAAAATGTAAAACATTTTCTTTACAAGCCTACGGAGACAATAATCTTGTTTGAGAATACTGATTATTAATCCGCGTATTAACCAAACGGCTTCAATTGTAGTTTTAAGTAATTTGTTTTTCTTTATTTGTTTCAGCGAAAGAATGTTTTTAATTATTTAACATTCTTGTCTATCTGACAGTCACTCATTAATCATTAACCATTAAGTGTTGGTTAGTTAGTAATTGTGAGTTAATAAATAGTGAAGAATAAATGACCTGCAAAGATCATTTGTGATAAACAGATGAAGATAATAATGTGTTTTAAGATTGCAATGATAAATATTAAAAATTGATACTTTAATGTATAGATTGTAAAGTGACTACACATATCTTAAGCTAAATAATGTTTAACATAACAATTTTATACTTACCTCTTTTATAAAATTTGGAGATCTATGTCTCCACCAAGTTAATCTGCTGCATTTGCGTAAAGTATTTATGCGATGATTACTGCTAGAGATGAATGGTACTTTCCGTGGAGATGCTGTTTGCGCTCTGCCACTAAACGTTTTGCTTCCCAACCCACCGCTTATGTATAAACGGCCACGCAGTCTTCTACTCACATGTTCACTTCTTAACCACATTTCAAAAGAAAAATTAAATGTCCTAAAATAAATAATACACTCTATTATTTATTATACTTAGGAGTTTGATATATTAAAATCATTAATAACTATTAATATTTCTTATGCTTTATACTATATTACAGTTATCAATAATTATGAAATATTAACTAAATTCAAGCAGTTATCCTTACTCTGCTTTTTATAAATCTAATTCATGCACCAAATCAGCAAACAAGCTTTGACTAAAAATATTCATCTGGTTGCATGTACGATTACTGATTCAGGAGTATGCTATCTTTAGCAAACAGCTTTATACATCAGTAAAGAGAATGCTTCAAGCAAGAACATTCTGGATAATAGCAATGTTTTATTAACCACCCATGAAGTTCTTCGTTAATGTTAAATATACATTTTAACAACTTCTTTTAAAACTTGACAATACGCTTGACCACTGTACAAAATACAAAAAAGTTCTTTTAACTTTTATATTGAAAGAAAAAAAAGGAAAAAAAAAAAAATTATTTTAAATAAGAAATTTATTAATTGCACACATACTTCCGATTAATTTTTGTTGGGAATATTTATTTAGTTGCGTTGAAAATAGAAAATAATAATCATATTTTCGTTCGTATTATCGTCGTTTAATTTTAATTAATTATCTTACTGTTGTGAAAATGTCTGTTGAAATTTGTCGAGCCGCCAAAGTTTCTAAACGATATAAAATAATAACCGTTCTTTAACTGAGAGAAACAAAATTCGAGAGATAAATTCGTTTAATAAACACTTATTAATTAATCAAGCACAGTAATTGACACTTTATATTTTTCGTTTGTTTATTATGTTTGTATCGATTAGAAATTGCGCGGGAAACAAGTTCGATTGTTCGAAAAAAGAAGCGTCCAAGATCTGTGGAATTTTGTCGCGCGTATGCATATACCTATATGTACATATATACTATGTATATATACATATGTAGATATACATGTATATATAGATAACATTCAAATGTGTATGTTGACACATACACAATTAAGAATACGTATTCATACTAAGGCATATATCGATTTGCATAAGATGTGATGCAAGGTAACGTTCCCATCAATTAAATCGAAATAATCTATACCTATTAGCAGGTAAAAATTGTTGATAAATGAATCTAAATAACATGTAATAGAGGAAACATTTTTGTCGGTCATCGCCCTTAACGAACTCATCTTGGCTACATACAAATCGATCGAAAGTTTGAAAGTGCAATACTGCGCCGCGGCATCGGCGTCGGCGTTAGCGGCGTTACTACTAAACGAAACTATCACCCAAAAATTTCCCGCGAAAATGTTACGACCTTGAGGAATTACGCTAAATAGAATTTAAATATTTTACTACTTACCATATCCTTTAATTCATCAGTACGCGCACGTCAAACTTTGACTAATCAACGATGTATCCACTCCCCCGCGAGTCCCATTCAAAAGCTTCGTTCGTGTTCACTTTTCATCCCCTCGAAACTAAACAAACATGGCCACAGTATCGCTCGAAAATACTCACTGGTCAAATGTACTACACAATTTTATTATTTATCAATATGTATTATCTAAATTTCACTGATCTATCTTACATAATTATTATCTTTTTAATAACTATACACTTATCATTATTATTTATATTGTTTTTCTTGCCTTGAATTCGAAACTATGTTGTTCCGGTTAATAATGCGCCATCTACTGGATATTTCATCTCGATCTTGTTCTAGAACGATGCGTAGTAGCGGCCATTTTTTTCAGATGCTCGCCAGAGAGAGAAAAGATGATATATAATATATATTATAGTTTTCTTTTAATATATTCTAGATCGTATCTTACTGTTATATAATTATTCATTTTTTTATTACATTAAAATCAAATATTTGACCATCATTTATTCAATAATTTTTCAATAAATATGGTAATATATTTTTAATCTGCTAAAAAATATCATGAAAAATTATACATTCAGATGCATCCAACGAGTCAATATCGTTTTATTTCTATGTATTTATTATGTTGTGAGAATATTATCACGCGTGCGCATTAACATATTTCATACTATTCATTTAAATTCTTAAATGTGATATATACATTCGTGTATTTACGAACTGATTGCATGTATATATATAGATACGTACGCAACATAGTACGTTGTATGATACAAAGTAAATATATATATTTATACAATCTGTAATCAAATTAATTCGATTAAAATATTAACATACATATGAGTTAATATTTAAGTTATTTTAAATTATAAAAATTGTATTCACTTGATTGTAATATATTAAAAACAGCTTTAATATTCTTTATACTTAGTAATGGAAATACACCTTTTTCTCTATCCAATGCTAGGTATAATATTATCACGTGACTACCTTTCCGTACATTGCAACGATGATTTCCCGCCAAATATAGTTGCACCAGACGCTAACAAGTGGTGATTTTGCTGACAGTAGTGAATGATTGAGATATGATCATTGTTCTGCTCTTAAGAGTAGAATTTATCTCATTGAAATTAAAACACGTGAATGTTGATTTATTCAACTTATTTGTTTAAATTAAAGAATCGTTAATTATAATCGTTATATTGTAAAGACGTTAAACTAAGTTATCAAGATGTATGTTAAAGTAAGAACAATGGATGGTAAACAGGAGGTGATATTAACAATTTCTAAGTTAACCGAGGTTGAGGATTTCAAGGTATGATTTTTCAAATTATTACAATGAATGAAAATGTTAAAACAATTTAATAAATATATGTTTTGAGTATAATAATTTCATACTTTTAGTCTATGAGGTTAGAAGAGAATTTTTGTCTCATTATATTATTATTATTACTTATTGTCTTATTATATTTTGAACTTTTATAAATAATAATTTAATATATCTGTATTAATCTTGTACAAGATTTACAATAGTTTGGTTATACTGTTCTGTAGCTTTTAAAAGAGAATGTACTTTTTTAGTTTGTTCTGTGTATTAATTTTTTAATATATATATGCACAAACATGCATGTAGAGTATGTTGTAAAATTAAAAGAATTATTTTCATATTTTTAGCGTCAAATACAAAAGGAGTTGTCAATAGAAGTTGCTATGCAAAGATTGTTCTTCCGTGGCAAACAATTAGAAAATGGTTATAAATTATACGATTATAGTATTAATTTAAATGATGTTATACAACTAATGGTAAAAATTAAACAAGATAATGTAGATAGTAAAGATAACAAAGATAATAATAAAAAAAATAGTAACAGAGTAAAAGAAAATAATGAAGAAGTTATTGAAGATGTAAATTTAGAAGAAACTGAAAGTTTATATTATAAAACTGGAGACGCCGTTGATTGTCTCGATCAATTGCATGGAGCTTGGTTTGAAGCAATTATAAAAAAGATATTTAAAAAAGAAGATAAAATTATTTATAATATGCAATGGGAATTTGATAATCAAGTGCCTCCATTTAACGTACCTGAAGCATCTGTTAGACCGCGTGCTAGAAAATTTATATCTGTTGAAAAATTGAAGATAGGTGACAAAGTAATGGTTAATCATAATGTTGACGAGCCCAAAGAAGTAGGACTTTGGTATGATTTTACGGTTTCAAAAATTGAGAAGAAAAGAAAATCACAAGAGTTGATTGGAACTTTACACATCGGCAGGTAATTTCTCAATTATTTTTATTCATATGTTATATTATTTAAATCTGTATTAATATGCATCTATCTATTTTTATACGCATAGAGACAATCAACTGGAAGGCCGCAAAATAAATCCCAAAGATGGTGTATATGCTATAGAACATCCAAAACTTTTATCAGAAAGAACACAGGAAGATGAGCAACATATGATAAGTAATGGTAAACGAAGACGTGTAGTGGCTTCGTGCTCTTATTGTATGGATGAACCTGATAAAGATTGTAAAGAATGTGGATGTAGAATTTGTAGTGGTAAAGAAGACGAACATAACTTACTACTTTGCGATGAATGCAATTTTGCATTTCATTTACGTTGTTTAAATCCACCTTTAACATCAATACCAGAAGAAGATTATTGGTATTGTCCTGAATGTAAAAATGATGAAAATGAAATTGTTAAAGTAGGTGATTGTTTTTATATAAATGTATATCAATTCGTTTTAAAAAAAAATAATACAATATTTTAATATAAAAATATTTAATTTATTCAAGGCAGGAGATAAATTGAAACAGTCCAAGAAGAAAACTATTATCAATGAAAGTAGTAATAAAAGGGATTGGGGAAAAGGAATGGCTTGTGTAGGTAGAACGAAAGAATGTAGTTTAGTCCCACCAAATCATAGAGGTCCTATACCAGGTGTAGAAGTTGGTACATGTTGGATATATAGAGTTCAGGTACATAAATAATATATATCCATACATATGTTTAAATGTATGCGCATAATATAATGTTATAATCTTTTTATTGAAGGTTTCTGAAGTTGGTGTACACAGGCCTCATATAGCTGGAATACATGGACGTGAAACTGATTGTGCATACTCCATTGTTTTATCTGGGGGTTACGAAGATGATATCGATAATGGAGATGAATTTATGTATACTGGTTCTGGAGGGAGGGATTTATCTGGTATAAAGAAATTCTGTTTATTTCGTTATATTGATAATTTGTATACATATACATGTATTTTTGATTACTTTCTATTCTAATTGCAGGAAATAAAAGAACTGCTGAACAAAGTTGTGACCAAACACTAACAAGGATGAATAAAGCTTTAGCAGTAAATTGTAATGCTAAACTTGATCCAGTAAATGGAGCTACAGCTGAGGATTGGAGAGGTGGTATCCCTGTAAGAGTTGTACGTAATTTTAAACTTGCAAAACATAGTAAATACGCACCAAAAGAAGGTAACAGGTATGTACAATATCAAATCTTCTTGATCTCTCTTCTTATTTATATTTTATAATATATATTATATGAATTTATATAAATAATAATACTATATATTGATTATTATTTTGATAATAGATATGATGGCATATATAAGGTGGTCAAATATTACCCAGATACGGGTAAAAGTGGTTTTCGCGTATGGAGATATTTATTACGCAGGGATGATCCTGCTCCTGCTCCATGGACTCGGGAAGGTCAATCAAGAATAAAATCACTTGGTTTAAAACCATTATATCCAGATGGTTACTTAGAAGCAATGAAAAAGAATCGACCAAGTAATAAACGTGCTATTGAATTGGAAGATGAAGGATTACCAAGCTCTAAAGAGACTGTACAAGCCAAAAAGAAACAAAAACGTGACATTTATAAATTAGACACTGAACTTATAAAGTTTATAGACGAAGATATTGCTAATGCCAAAATTTGGAACGAATGTCGTTTAGCTTTACCAAATGGAAAGACTGCTTTTCTACAACGCGTTTCAGAAAGGTATGTATTACAACGTAAGCCTTGGTAAAAGTAAAATTAATTCATTAAATACGAGTTTTTTCTTTACAGATTTACTTGTGTTTGTTGTTTAGAAGTAGTTAATAATCCTGTAACTACACCTTGTGCTCATAATATTTGTCTTACTTGTTTAAAACGAAGCTTTTCATCTGGAGTTCACAATTGTCCATCGTGTCGTCATAATATGGAGAAAGATTTTAAAATGGATGTCAATGAGTTTTTAGCTTCTGCATTGCTAATGCTTTACCCAGGTTATAATGCTGGTAGATAGCAGAGTAAATATAATGAAACGTATAAACCACAGATATAATTAATTCAATTTCTTGCTTTCACATACCATAGAATATACTAACGTATTATATGGATCCAAAGATAAAAAAAAAATGTATTCGATGAGATATTAGGACAAAATTATTTTTATATTATTAGTTGAGTTGATTATACACTATTAAAGTAATTGTGTATATCATATTAAAAATATAATTATACATACTATAAAAGATTAAAACATGTTGAGGAAGCAAAATTTTTGACAATTATATATTTAATAGTCATTTATATATTTGGCATCGCACAATTATTACAAGATTGTAAAAGTAAAGGTGTTATTGATTTAATAGAACATTAATTGTTAGGAAAATAAACTTTATTGAATATGAACTAATTGTTCATGAATATTGAATATGAAATACATGAAAATGTGTGTGCCTTATAGAACTAAAAAAAAGAAAAGCAAGTTTGAACTACATAGTATAAAAATAAATTGAGATTCTAGAAATGGTTTACTTACGATTTATTTTTACCATTTGATTAAGTGATTGATAGTGAAACTACTTTATAAGCAAATTTAAGTTAATATTATTCATAAGACGATTTATATTGATATAAGAAGATAATATTGATGTTGTATTTGTTTTGGTTTTTGTTATATTAGTATATTCATATAGTGAACATTACAAGTATCATCAACATAGTTTTAACAATGTTTTATTACAATACTTAATATTAGACAGTAAAAATTAATCATTCCATAGTCAAATATTCCTCATTGTATTACATAATTTTTATTTATTTATATATTTATTATGTTTCATATAATCTCATATAAGATAATATTATATTATTTTGTAATTAAATTAATAACAATTAAACATCATCCTTCTGTTCTTGTTTATTCATAGGTGGTACTGTATCACTGATCCACTTTAGGTATTGTTCATTACCATTTTGTATCTGAAAATTAAATTTTGTATTTAAATAATTTATTTATGGATTTTATTTTATATATAAGAAAAACTATAATATTTATTTATATAAAGTAAAACAATCAATGAATAAAAGTAAGATCGGATAAATTTTACTTACAGGTAAAGAAATTACTTCACATACTGTGTAAGGATGATTTTTCCTAAATAAAAAAAAAAAGATTAGTTGATTTGTTTCTATGTTACATTAAAGCAACATAATATCAACTTACTTAACATAATCTGTCAAAGCATCAACTGTATCTGTTCTCGTTTTTATCATCTGCATATAATCATTAGTAAAATATAATATACAGTATATTTTTACTTACTAATAATTATTTTGATTATTCTTACCATTAAAAGTTCCGAATCTTCATTTATTTTATTTTCCCATTCATACCTATACATGTATAATTAATCAATACAAATTAGATAGTTTTTACAGATACAAAATATACATGCACCAACACGTAAACAAATATTTTATTTTATAAATGCTTACACTGAAATAACTTGAGGGATAATATTAACACAAGCAGCCAATTTATTCTTTACTATATCACTGTGGATACAAATAAAAAGAAATATTGTTGTATTAATTTAAATATAATTTTATTTAATCATAAACATATAAAAGGGTAACTTTTTAAATTCAATACAATGATCTTACTGTGCCAATTTTTTAGCCACTTCTACGTTTGGAACGGTAACATATGCGACAGAATGTATTCCCGTATAATTACTCATTGTTTTATTACCATAAACATAAAAATTTCTTAATAAACTAAAAATCATCAGTAATGTTAGAACAAATTTACCGGCCATTCGAAGTATTTTCATTAATGGTAACAATACAAATGATCAGAGGTTATCAAATACAACGCTAAAAAAACACCATCAAAAGAAGTTTTAATTGGTTAATAATAAACATTGTAACGTTTTTATCCAATAAGAATGCGGATTATGACAACCAATGAAAATGTAGAAAAAAATTACAAGAAATTACCCGATATGCACTTTGCAATTTGAATTTTGTTAAAGATGAGAGACGTTCCAGTTTTGTATACGGTAAATATTATTAATTATTATCTATAATTCATATTAATTGTTATAATATAATATTGTTCCAAAGAGATTAAACAATATTATTAATATCTAGATGTTAACAATTAATGCTGTACTATTTTTACTTTCCGCGGATATGAATATAATAAAAAAATTCAAATTCAAAAACATTATCTATACATATAATTAAAAAATAAATAAAGAAAGAAATAAAATAAATTCAGATAAGATAAATAAATTAATAGGTAAATCAATAAATAAATATTATGTCTAGTTATATATATATAATGTCGTTTGTTTTATTCGTTTGTTAAATTGTTCCGTGATAATACATAAAATATAACCTAAAAAAAGGACATTAATTATTACTAAACTTGATAATAATTTCTCTAATAGATTTAAATATACTAAGTAGTAAATATTTTAAATATATTTATGTACAAACTATATGTAATCATACATGTTATTGTTTTCGAAAAATTCGCGTTAAAAAAATTCTCGTATTTGAAAAAAAAAAACACCCGAAAAAATGTAACTCCTTTTTTCAATCTATTTTTACATGTAGAATCAACCCTCCTACTCCACTCTTATTTCACCCCTTTGTTTTACCAATACAGATACATCCTATATATATAAAACATATGAACAACGTCCAAAATCTATACTACGAAAAGATTAAGGAGAGAAAAAAAAGATAAAGAGTAAAAAAATATTAATAATAGATAAATTAAATAGTAGATAAAAAAATGTAAGTATTTATATTATTCTTCCAATCATTACAAAAATATCTCTAATTAGTTAGTAAGAAAAAAGACTTGGATTATTTTAATGAAAAGTAATCAAATGAATACGCGGAACATACCCGAAGAATCTCTTTCATTTTTTGTAGATGAAAAAAAGCGCGGTTTGAGATTTATATAATATTAACGACGCATATATACATGTACATATACAAAAAATATATATATATATATATACATAAAGAGAGGTAGAGAAAAAGAAAGGGAAAGAAAACAAAAAAAGTAAAAGCTGCGATGCAACAGAATCGTATAGAAGAAAGAAGAAAAGGGTCGCTGGCATCTTCGGTTAACTAAACGGATTATAACTATATCAAATAATGGGCCGCACGTTCCACAGAAAAAAAGGGAGTAAGAAAAAGAGAGAGAGAAAGAGAAAGAGAGAGAGAAAGAAAAAGGGAGGTGCAGCCTATAAATAGAAAATATACTGCAACTTCCGTACGACGAACTCAAAACCGTAATTTTGCTTCCTCGTTAATGATGCTTTCTATAAACTTACGAAATGCAACTACTTTACGTATACAAATGCATTTGACTATACAGTCGTATTGAATGCATAGAAAATGGCGCCCAACGTAGAATTTCTCTATTTCCTATTTTTTTTTTTTTCTTTCTTTTTTCTTTTTATTTCATTTTATTCACCACTCGGCGTAGTTATATCTTATTATATCATTGGAATGTATCGAATGGTCTGAAAATGGTACCAATAAGATATTATTTTTCTGTATACTAATTTATTTATCTTTTATGTTTAATTTTATTCTGTACTCGGCACAGTTCCATTTTACATCATTGGAATTTATTAAATGCATAAAAAGAAAATACGATTATAATATAATTTGTATATTCCTTTTATTTCACTTATTTATTTATATTATTTTTTTGTTTTACAGAAAGGTGGAGAGAAGATATCTTACTAATGTCACGTTGATTTCAATATTTACACTTATTTCGGCATTGAAAATGTTGGGTAATTGATTTATTTTTTTTCTCTAAGAGGAGGAATAAAATAATAATAATAATAATAATAATAATAAAAGCTTCTTCCCGCTAACGATCTCCTTTGAACTTTTTTTTAGGAAACAAGGGAGAAAGAAAAAAAGATGAAATAGAATTCCTTTCGTAATTATTCGGTGGAAGGTTCGAGCGTTTGGCACGGTATCAGAAATAGGGAGAGAGAAACGTTCTCCAGCTGCACCAGATTTCTCTCCGATAATGATTATTCGAAAGATCAACATCTGTCATCTGGTATTTGCTGCTTCATCGCTAGCGTGCTCGCGTATTTTGGATTACATAAGCACATTTACCTATTTGGATAGAAAAAGTATGAAGAAAGATTAAGAAGAAGAAAAACTAGAAGAAGAAAAAGAAGAAGAAGAAGTATGTATAGCAAGAGGGAATGTAAGATAAATATTTTATTCCAAATCATTTTTTATTTTACTGAGATTTGATTGATTTATACACATAACTTATTATATTTATATATATAACTTAATTATAGATTTCATTTCAGATAAGTAAGGATTATATAAACGCATTTGTAGAGCTAACACTTTGGGATTGAAATCAATGAAATTTAGAGATTACTTTTTTTTGACATATATAGACCCCATTAGTTATTAGATTTTTCGTACGTTTAAGAGGCAGGTGTATGGTTCGAGCAGAAGCATATTGCGGTTGCCAGGAAAGGAGAAGGAGGAGGAGGAGGAGGAGGAGGAGGGTCGTAGAATTGGCGCCCACTGACCCGTTGGAGGGTCAGCAATTTACTCAGGGCCGTATAATATTTTGGTATCATGTGTACCCATAAGAAAACTCGATTTATTTATATAATGTCTTGGTGGAAGAGATCGTAAGGTTGTTTATTTTCAACCTTTTCTGCATTTTACGCCACGATACCGGAAACGATAATGTCAAAGTTAAAAAGAGGGCGTGAATTTTTCAAGGAAACGATATTGATCCGCATGTACGATTTTATTTTACTTTCTGTTTCTTTTACTGGTATATATATATATATGTGTGTGTATATATGTATGCTTGACGGCTTAATATCTGCAACAGAAATGTGTAAAATCTATCTAGAGAGGCTGTTCTTTATCGGAGTAATAACGGATCGCGAGACACACATATATGTATCCATAAATATGTATGAAATGTATGCGTCTCTGGTAATACTTCTGGGATTTCCACGGCGCGAGCAACGATGTAATTTAAAATCTTGCTAGAGTCTTTTAAAGATATCCCTTCAGTTGCAATAAACACAGAGGGTACGTATAGTATAATATTACAGTACGTTTGAGGTCTCGACGTAAAGTATTTATCACGCGCTTCATTTAAAGTATTTTTTAAAGAGACCATACTCTTGTATTATTTGTATTACAATCCAGACGTTCTATTTTAATATCTCTTTATTATTTTCCATTCACTCCAAACGTTATTAATTATTACAAATTCAAAAATCAACACGAATAAATTAATTTATTATTTGTGTTTCATTCAGAATATTTCCGTTTTTATATCCCTTCATTATTTTTCAGTCACTCTAAATGCTATTATTAATCACGGATGCGAATGTCAATAATGATGAAATTAATTTTCAATAAGAATATTTCAATGAGTAGTTAAATATTAACGAAAAATAGTTAACGCGGCGAAAGGAAAAATTAGCATAACCGCATTAAATGCGCGTGGCGCATCCACAAGTAGGCAGCGCCCTTAAGGACCTCCTTTTATAGGTTAAAAGGGCAAGACTATAAGGGTCGAGTAAATCGAGAGCAAGACAAACCTGGTATAACATTTTAGTCTTACTATATATATATATATACATATGTATGAGTATTGTTTGGAAAGTTCGTAACGAATAACAAGATGATATTTACATGTCTTTAATTATTTTATCATTTATTTTTTAATACTAAACTTTTATTACGAATTTTGTGGATACTTGCTACTGTAGGAAACAACAAAACGTCAGACATAAAGAGCTGAGAAACACAAAAGAATATCCGAATTCATATATATATATATATATATATATATATATATGTATGCTTATATATTTGTATATGTCTTATGTACCTATATATATATATACTGTCTATGTATATTCACATGATCTATTTCTTTTTTTCATATGCGTCATGCACGCTGGATGCTTTCACCAAACAGCAAAGACTCGTCTCGCTACGTTACTACTACTTTTATTCAGGTAGATTCACGCACACTATTATATACATATACGTAAGTCGTATATAGAGTCGTGTGTCTGCAGGGGTGCGGAAAGAGCTCAGAGGAAACGGCAAGGGGTTGCTGTCTCCTCCTGCGCACTCACACGATTTCCCTGCGTGAACGAGCCTCTCTCTGCACGTACACAATCTTGTCCTTCGCATAGGCGCGGCTCTTTCGAATTATTTCTTTTACTTTTTTCCTTCAGTCAAAATATATACCTTTTAAATGATATTTATTCGCGATGAAGACGAGATTTTAATATAATACAATTATCGAAGAAACTTGTATTTATTTTGTCTAATAATTGTTTCTTATTGCAGTGAAAAAGGTTTTGCTTTTTGTTTACGAAGATGCTCGAAAAGATTAAAAACAATTGCAAAATTGGAAAGAGGAGGAAGATAGGATCGATCAATAACTGGAGTTTGAATCTAATCTAATCGATGTTAGAATGTAAGAAATAAATGGAAGCATCTAGAAATTAATTAGAGAAAGGACGAGATATGGAAGGTCTGTAGGAAGAACGTTGACCGGTCGCTGAGAGGGATCCTTGGGGTGGTGCATAGCCGGCGCCAATGGCCCTTCAGGCGTTGTATGCGTGCGCCTCCTATGCGGGTAGAGGGAGAAATTGGTGGGCGCTCCAATGACGTCAGGGGCGATCGTCAGGCGCAAACGGGGTTGGCACCGTACTACGTCAGAATGACGAGCCGATAAACCATCCCATCGCGATTCTCTGCGGCGGGCGGACCAACGGTCTTGGAGGTAAACATCTTTCTTAATTTAACGTATTTTATATAAGATAAGAGATTCTCTATAAGAATAAGGAAGAAAGTCTTCGTGGATAAAAATTAGAATGTATATTCCGTCATCTCAAAAGTTGAGAATTTGTCTTCTTCTAGGTGACCGTCGGTTCGCAGAGGATGGCGAGCTCGGGGTCGGTGGCTGTCGACGGGGTCGGCGAGAACAATGCCACGTCTGGAGTCGATCTCGGTGGTCCCAAGAATCCACTGATCTGTGGTGTCTGTCATGACTACTACAATGAGCCTTGTCTACTCTCCTGCTTTCATACATTCTGCGCCCGCTGCATACGTGGCCCTCACCTCGACGGAAAAGTCACCTGTCCCAGCTGCGGGTAGTTAACAACGTCTGTTATTGCATGGCCCTACCCTTAGGATATTCGTGGGATCTACGCTCATCCCGAACAAGCAGTTTCTGCATGCTTCGTGCTGGCCTGCTGACTTTAAAATCGCTGTGTACGTTGCAAGTAAAGTAATCCAAAGTACTCCCTATATTTATTATATTTTGTTCATTCAAAAAATCACCGAGCTTTCTCTCTCTTTTGACCTTTTATTGAAATAATATATCTTAATAGTTCATTATATACTTTAAAGATTTTTCTATTTAGGTATATATTGCACTCTTAGAACATAAGCATTGTCTTTTTTTTATCGATTTATATTTATTGTTGCTTCTGCATGTTAAAACTGTTCCATTGAATATTCTTAATATTCTTCTACAACAAATATTTAAATACTTCTTTTGCAGTATTTGTTTAGGTATTACCTGATTGTAGCACGCCCATGAGATGTTTACTTACATTCACGTATTGTGTAGAGCAGAGTAAATACAGTGTTAATCGATACTCAATCAATGCATTTGGTGCTGCATCTCAATCAGACTAGAGAGAAGTGTGTGGAATTCATTGTCTGCTACCCTTATTGTCTCACTATCTAATTGCATGTACCCATTCATGATGTCACAATGGCATTCTTTATTATGTGCATATCTGTGATTTATTTCATGATGTAAGTGTGCATTCATTTTCTCTTACAATTCTTTGATCAGCTTTTAATCCCATATCTGGTTAAAGTTCATCAATAATATTGAAGTTTGTGTTTAATTCAACTTGAAAGATATGATTATAGAAATTAAAGTTAATAATGCATGTTTTATTATTTGTTTATAGAATTGTTATATATATATATATATATATATTTGGAGATTTTTGAAAAATTGTATACTTCAAATAATATTTTTCCAGTTCGCACAAATTCTACCTATTGATTGTTCTCTTCTATTCTATATTTTATTATTATTATCAAATATTAACAGTTTTATATTTACAGGCAACAAACACAACTTAAAGAGGGAGCACAATTACCACCACTGGATCAGTTAATACGTCAACTAGTAGAATTAGCCAATTCTGAAAATCCACCATGTGCCAATTGTGATAAACGAGACAAATCTACTATGTTCTTCTGCACAACATGTGGTATTTTCTTATAAAATTTTTTATTATTATTTAATGTTACTTTCTATATATACTAGTAAAAATATATCATAGCCTATGCGTCACTTAATATAGATTTATTAATTTATAGGACAAGCTCTATGTACTCATTGCAGAGAACATACACATCGTGCAAAAATGTTCTCCACTCATGAAGTGGTGCATATGAGCAAATGTGCAAAGGATACTCAACGTCGTTGTCCTTCTCATGGGGAGCAATACATCATGTATTGTCAAAGCGCTAAATGTATGCTTTGTGCAACATGTTTCCGTGATACACCAGCAGATGCTCGACTACATTGTGTGGACATCGAAAGCGCTTGGCAACAGGCTTCAAAAAAAATGGAAAGAGCAGCAAATTCAATTTGTGAATTACAAGCAGGCGTAAGAGATGGAGTTTTGGCATTAAAATCACAGTTGGACGAATTACGTCATAGCCTAGATTCAGAGAAACGCGCATTAAATTCATTTTGTCAAGGAATGCAAGAAGCAATTAATAAAACTCATTCTTCCGTTTTATCGGAACTTCAACGTCAATTTGAAACTAAGGAAAGAATGGTTCGGACTCGATTGCTATCCTTGGGTAGTGCACTTCCAATATTACAAATGCATTTAATGCTGTGTACAGCTTTTACAAGTGGTGCGACAAAGTATCAATTTCTTGAACTCGCACATCCTATGCTCGAAAGATTGAGTCGCGTAGCTCAACTTGGACACCCTACGAGACCTCCTCTACTTGCTGCCCATTTGAAGACAAACTATAGAAGCGACTTTGCTCGTACGTTACAGCCTTTTATTGGTCAGGTACAAACACCAAAAGAATCATTGTACGATCAGACTCACACGATGGGCCAGCAGGAACCGCAGGTTATACAGGTACTCATAAACACTTCATTATGCATCGATACCTATTTTTAATTTTACATTACAAGTTTGTTTTTCACTGCATTTCTCGCACACAATTCTGTGTAAGTACTTTTGTTTACAGGATTTACTATGATGTTTGTTTTGAAAATGTCGTGGTAGCTTGTAGATAAATTAGAAAGAAACTTTTTTGTAGCGCGTTGGCTACACCAGGCTCTCAGTGTGTTTTGTTCGGTAATAGAGAACGGTAGTCGGATATCGTAGTCAGTGAACACGATTACTGTAACTGTATTGTGGTAAATCATAGTAAGCTTTATCATTATATCAGGAATACATTTTTCTAACAGAGCAGCAAGCCTGCTCAGAGAATCCAGCCGAAGAATGGAAGTGACGGTGGGCCGTTTTCCAACCATTGTCGCACCTTCGATACTCAATTAAAAGAACTAAGTCAACAACTGATGACAGTGAAGGAACGTTTAGGAGAACTCCATCGAGACGTCGCACTACTTAGAAGAGCTAACACACCGCCTGTGGGTACGCGTTACGAGCATGTGGCGAGAGATTGTCGTGTGTTAGAACAGCAATTAGAACATCATCAGTTAGAATTGGAACGGTTGAGGAACGTGTTTGATGCTTTGTGGGAAGAACAATTGTGCAGAATTCATATAGAGAAGGAAATCTTCCATTCTCAGGTTTATATCTCGAAAATTTATATTTCAAATGCTATTCTAATAATTCTTTTATTTTTGGATATTCTTTAAACAATGAATTTATTTTTTTATAGATGGACGATATTCTATCTTTAAGAAGTGAAGTGAAGCAATTACAAAGTCTTACACAACAATTGGAACCGTTTGTGAAATCGTTTTCTACAGGAGTTACTGCAGGTGAAGTGAGCATGGCAGCTTCGGATGCTTCCAGTAGTCAACACCTGCAAGCTTTATTAGATCATATAGCGCGCTTGCAGATGCAGGAACCACCTCAACCGCAAACTCAAGCACCGACTAAGGATCATCGTCATCCACGAGGTACTATGACCAGTGTTGACAACGCTCTTTACATGAAGGGTATAAAAATAATTCTCGACGACTCGACTTAACTTATCGACGATTTCTTTTTAAAACGATAATACTTTTTGATTCTCTAGAAACTAAAGAAATGCCGACGCGTTGTCGGACACCATCGGGTGTTGGTGCCGTATTAGACTCGAGCGGCAACATAGTCGTATACGGTACCGCTAAATCTTCCGAACAAAAAAGAGGAGTACTGAGAGAGCTTCTTGAAAAAGCTAGAACAAAAGAGGATCGCAAGAAATCACCAGGAAGAGACGACGGTAGTCGGGATCGTAGTCAAAGCCGACGTTCCAGAAAGTCACCCGATGGTACGAAACCTAAAACACCACCAGGACATTCTTCGAGTAGCAAGGTTCGATCGTTGTATCGTTCCTGGAAAGGTGCAACCGGTGATACGTCAACTGAGGCACTCGACCAACCAGAAAGATGTACGGACGGTCAACAGCAGCAGCAGCAACAACAACAACAACAACAAGCGCAAACTCACCAAGCAGGTAAAGATATAAGATCTTAAGTTAGAAAGTTGTAAAGATTTCATATAGAATTTCAAAGCTTTCTATCGTCGCCGTCAAAAGGTGGTGATGAGGGGGAATATCAACGAATTTCCGAAGCTTCTAGCATGGGCGAGGCCAAAAAACGAGTCCAAGCGCAAGTACATCCTATACCACCGGACGACCAAAAACTATCCAGTGGAAAAAGTACAAAGGTGTATCCGGCTAGCGACTCCGAGGATGTCTTCTATGTGGATGATAAGGCTCCTAGTGATGTTCGAAGACGCAGACGTGCCAGCTGTGACAGCCTAAGTACAACCGGTTCTGGTAGCAGAAGATCGAGCATCGTTGACGGGACGGTAGGTCAATCCTCACAGGATCCCAGGAAAACATTCGTTCTTTTGATTGGATCACCTACGACGTCATCTCTGGTGCAGAAGCAGCGTTCCTGGGAAACCTTCCCTCGACCAAAGAGCAAAAGAAGCGGACCCAGTGAAGGTGCATCCTCCTCCCTGGGACAGCTTAAAAGAGCAGACAGCTTTGAGGGTCACGAGGAAGCTGTACGAACCTTGGTTGCAGCAGTACAGGAGACCAGATCGCATTTACGTCAACACCTTATTCATCATCATCGTCATCATCGTAAGAGCAAGACGAATTAAGGATTATAGGGAGTCGAATTATCGAAAACAACACTCGCCCTCTTACGAAGAAGGAAAAACAAAATAATTAAACCCAATTATTGAAACGAATACTCCCATTTTTTCTTTTCTTTCTTTTCTCTCTCTCTCTCTCTCTCTCTCTCTTTTTATTTTTCTCCAAATTTTCTCATTTTTTGTTTTACTTAAATCAATTTCTTGATTTTTAGACATCTCAAGAAAGAGGTTTTCAACGTAATATGTTCCGATGACGATTCTCAAATCAATTCAAAGTGTGCTGATGAAGAATATAAATAAAAGCCTATAGAGAAACATTTAGAATGATATTGTCCGAGAGACTGTAATCTTTTTGGTGATTATATACTTGTTGTTAGTCGCGAGACGTATTGTTGAGAAGAAGAAAAGAAAAAGAAAACAAAGAATAACGTTTCGTAAGTTTTTTCGAAGGATTTTGAAGCGTCTCGATAAATATATATGTATATATATATACACATAACATACGTATACACACACAATATATGCAAGATATAATACATAAAAAAACATACACACGTATCATATACGATACATACATACACACACACACACCCATACATAGATACAGGTGTACACCAAAGACGGAATATATGGAGACACGTACTACATAAAAAAAGTAGAAAATGTTTTAATCCTGTCGAATTCGCGTAAACGTAAAAGATAAAGTTGGTCAAGAAAACTCTTATTGCTCGAAACGTTACTGAGAGGTATTTATCAAAAAAGAAATTGTTTCAACACAACGACAAATCGGTATTTTCTTTTAATTGTTTAATTCAACCCTTTCATCACTTCGATAAAATAATACGCGTTATAAATTTGATTCGTAAGATTAAATATGTCCCAAAATAGTAGGATTCCAAATCGAGTGTTGAAAGATATTTCTGTAAGACGATGATAATTCTTTTTATTGATATCCAACTTATGATTGGGACATGATTAAAAATATCTTATATAATTCAAAGTATTAATAACGTTAGATATAAAGAAAGAGAGAGAGAGAGAGAGAGAGAGAGAAAGAGAGTTTAAAATGGTGAAAGGGTTGATATATTTATTAAAATAAAATATATGACACAGTTAGTGTTTATAAAAAAAAAAAAAATAAAATAGTCTAATAGTAAGTCATATTTATCATTTTCAAATATTTTTACATTTGAATTTGAATTATTTACAAATGATGTTTCGAGTATAAACTTAGGCCACTTTTATAATTATCGATTCGTATGTAAGATGAATAACATTGAGTCATTTATTATTGTTAACTTTTATCCTCTCAGTGGCGGTTGTTGCATTTAGAACGTTGATTAGTATTACTGTAGAAGATACGTTTACGAAGAAACTGTGCGCGCCATTGAGCTTGAGAAGTTAACATTTTCCTATCCCTCCAATATTAAACAAAAATTTCATTTGATCGCGACGATGAAAAGAAAGAGATAAAGATAAAAAAGAAAAAGAAAAAGAAAAAAAAGAAGAAAAATGAGAAGAGAACGTGCTGAAGTATCGACAACACCATACTCATTGATATTTTATTGATATTAATAATAATATTGTTAAACTTATAGAAAAGCTGCCATATAAAATTTGATAGCAGTTCGAGGGTTGATAAAAAAAAAAAAAAGAAACAAAGAAGAAGAAGAAGAAGTAAATAAAACGTTTAATAACGGTGCATGTCGATTATATCAGTCGAATAGAAATTATAAATATGAAATAAGTGCGCGTCGCACAGTTCGGTTGGTCGGGTAAAACAAGTTAGTTAGTAAACAACACTGCCAGCCACAAGTACATTACGAATTTAATTGAGGGTACTCATCATACGAAAGAATAGCCTAATCCGATAAGCGTACTCGTAATCGATAATCGTTGATTATTATACCGGAATTCATGTTCATTGTTCATCCTCTTGATTGAGGTGAGTCGTGCGATATGAGGATTCTTAACGATGATATATTTATTCGTCGTCATATAAAAATAATACTTACGCATACTTACAAGGAAAAAGAATATATATATATATACAAATACACGTACATGCATTAACAATCGCAAACCTGATCGCAATAAAAATCATGGAAATTGTCGCCCGGAAGTATTATTATGATTAAATTAATAATTCGAGGAATACAAAGTTATGGTTTTCCGTGAAGGGGCTTTAAGGACGTTTTAATTATAGCAGATGTACACGATAAGTATGTATGACAAGAAAAAAGTAATGCCGAAATGCTGATAAAGTAAAATATACAAATTAAGGAATATGTTGTTTCTGCATTGATCCAAACTCATTGTTTCAAATCTTTGTAATTTCTTTCCCTCGCTTTTGAGGAGGTACGTATATCATTTATTTACATAGAACTTTTTTGTTCCATAGTTCTTTTTAGCTAGCTTTGTTTTACATATATAGTAATAACAACGGGGTCATTTTTATAAAATTTCATAATTTTGTGTTTATACAGATAACATATTTTGCCCATACACGTTAGTGTTTTCGTAAATATAATTTGGGCAAATTATTTTCTTATGCTTTAACGTTGTTATCGCTTTTTTTTAAATGTAATTTCTATATATACATGTTAAATTAAAAAGGAAATATATCTTACAAATTTTTTTATAAGGTAATATTATTAATAATATTTACATTTGGTTTATTTCTCTGTTACATAAGATTTTTATTGGTAATAACATGGTTAGCTTCTCTATTTAATGTATCGCTAACATCATTTTCTTGAATATTTGTGATCGTTCTGTCATCTCGAGTATTTTCCGTGTTTGTATCTTTATCAAATATTTTTAATACATTGATACTTAAATTTGGTGATTCGGGAAAGTTTAGTATCGATAAAATACCCCATTTTTTAGTCTGTGAAGCTTTAGTATTTTGAAGGTTGCTAATTGCTACTGACATTAATGATTGTATGCGTTGTACTTCATTACAACTAACATTTTTACTAACATTTAATTCTGTTTCAAATGGATTGCATATATATAATGCTGTATTGTGTATTGATTTTATTGTAGTACCTGTTCTCAAACAAATTTTTTGAACATTAAAATCAAAAGTAGCATAAAATTTAAAGAAATCTATTAAAAGAGCACTTAAATGCATATTATTCTTTCTATACGATTTCAGATAATTTGGCGTATAATGCGTATATATCTTTTTCATATTATTTTGACCATTATTTGATATTTCTGTAAAAAAATAAATAAAAAGAATATTATTATATATAAATATAAATATATACAAAGTGTCTCGGCTAAATGGGATCACTTAAATATTGTCTTTTGTATGAATTGTATGAAAAAAACTTTAAAGGAAAATGTTACACTATTGCAAAGAAAGGAAATGTAACAGTAAAAAGAATTTTTTCAATAACGGAGATATTTAGGTGATCTGATTTAGTTGAGTATCATACCAAACTCTTTTATAATAAACTTTACCTGAAAAACTTGTTATAGAATTTATGGCAGGTAATATCTCAACTTGTTGTAAATAAAATATTACTAATAGAGTCAATGAAAAATTTGTAATCGTTTTTCCTGGATGAATAGAAGTCAATTTATTATCTTCTGCCCATTTTCGAATTGTAAATATGAGTGGTCTAACTCGATCGTCTTCTTCACCATATAAAAATAATAGCTCCGACATATATGTGGCAATTCTATGAAACAAAAGCCAAGATTAAAAAATTGTTTTTCAAAGAAAGTAATATATTTGAAACTTACGTATTACTCATACTCAAGTCACACTCCGTGTGCGTAAAAAAGTTTTGGAATTTAATAATAGGAACCCTCGCATTAAAAATTTTTCGTACGTTAAATATACCAGGTATAATATATTTCATGGCATCTGCTAATACTCCCATGAATGCATGGATATGCTGCTTTTCATCAATATTAGTTGATTTCCCATGATATATCAATCTGCTGAATGTATTTTCCTACAACAAGATAATTTATATCTTATATTTGTTTAAATAGATATTAATAATTTATTAACGTCGTATGCTTACCTTTTTAGAACCATCTGTAAAAAGAATCAAGTCAAGATCAGACTGTCTCTTTCCATAACCATTAATAAAAGAACCAAATGGATGTATAATTATGTTTGGAAAAAAACCTTTGAAACATTTTTCTAATTGTACAATAGTTTGAAATTTTAATCTTATCTCTAATTCATCTAATTTGTATTTGTTATATAAAGTTATCATTTGTTCCGATATCTATAAAAACTAAATGTGCATTAGAATAAATGTTAGAAAAATGTCAAGCATCGTTGAATTAAAAAAGAAACAAAATATTACCGAAGATGAATTTATAATTGCATTTCTAATAGTATCCTGTTGTAATATTAAAGAATTACACAAATGTATTTTTGGTAATTCATAGGCATATTTTAAGTTCATCTTGTCTTTTTGTACTTTACGAAACCATAATACGTTTGTTCTACTGGGAATATAAGTACAATCATCCATGAATGCTGCATTCGAGCAGACAGTTTCAGCAGTTTGTATATTTTTAAATTCAATTAGGACGAATTGCTGAAATCCATTTATTTGTTATTATTAGTCAGAGCAATTTAATGGATTTCTTTAACGCCATTGTTGTAACTTGAAATTATTTAAAGTTTATGTAATATCATTTAACATTAATATACTGAGAAAGATAGTTAAATGCGAATTTTGAATAGAAAGAAAAACAGATTTAAAATAAAATATTAAACTAATATCTAACCTACATGTTGTTTTGGCAATGTATAAAAATACACTTTCTCTACAAGACCACCCAAGTTAGCGCAATAAAGTAGAAGATCTTTGCACGATTTAACTGATGCTACTTGAACTATTATACTTCTAGATGCTTCGGATTTTCTTCTTGTTATATAATTTTGTAAAGTAAGTCTTCCTTTGGCTGTTTTGGAAAAAATAATACATTAGAAATTGTTAACCTTAAATAAATAAAATTCGTAGTGTGTGATAGACATGAAATATAAATAATGAAATAAAAAAGAATATTTCATGTCCACATACACAGTTATAAATAATCAATAAGTTTTTATAAATAATTGCACCACAATTGTAATTAAAACAGTGCAATCAATTGTAGGTTATGTTCATTTGCTTACCCATCCCCGAAGACATGTATTTTAATGAAAATTGTTCATTTTTTACTGTCGTTTGTCTTTTTTGTAAATCTAATTTTGTTATATTAACACAGAACCTATAACTATTATAAATCATTGATGTTGCATTCATATTAACACGATATAATGCCATTTTAAATTATTATACAAAATTTGCACGTTTTAGGATTCCTTCTAAATGTAACTTTGTACAGCTTGCATTACATTTTATTTAATATTACTTATATTATTTAAGATAGAATTGTTGACAGTTTTTATTTCAGTTACGATTATTTAAACTTTTTAACAGCATGTGTATTTACATTAAAATACTTCACAAAGAGTAAAAGAAATATAAAAAAAAATTATCAACATGTAGAGTGCATATAAGTTCATTCAATTAGAAATTACTTTGTTTTCTAACAGATGGCGCCTCTGAACCATTTTTTCGGGCGCTCGATGTAAAAAAAAAAAAACAGAGCTACACGCAATCTCGTATTTAAAATAAAAAATAAATCCGAACTTGTATGTCTGTGTGGCCAGGTACAGAGAAAAAGAAATAAAAATGTATTATTCCTTTCTTTTTTTTCTAACAAAATAATACGTAATTTGTTAATAAATATACGAATTATATATATATAAGCGTGTTCATTAGTATTATGTTTAAAGTGTCGGTAATAAATAAACTAATTGTCGACAAAACTGATAGAACGAATTGACTTTCGATTTATATGAAAACAATTTGAAATTAGAAAGTGACAAAGTGATGGATCATACATGGGATCGAATAGAGAATCTTCGGAAGGTAAGAGGGTCCATTTCAAAGGCCATCACGGATAGAGTTGCCAATTCGAGAGATGACGTAAACGTGGACTCTACTCGTCTCGTTCTTCTTTACACGCGAACGGTAGAACGTGCTTTCCTTTGGTCTCGTGGTTTATTTGTTTCTTTAGTTCTTTCCCTCACGGCTTGTGGACGTCGAGACGGGTGGKGTTAGAGAAAAAGGTAGGCGTCTTGCTTCAACATTCGAATGGCCGCGCGCTACGTTTTTCTATTTCCCTCTCTCTCTCTCTTTCTTTTTCTATCTCTCTCTCTTTCTTTATCTTTTACTCAATACACGTAAGTGAGATTACATATATATATATATGTAGTTCCGAGCTTATCTCAACGGCCAGTCACATTCGTCGTCTCATTCCCTCCCTCTCGCGAATGTTCACGGAGAAGCACGAAGCACCCGAGAGGAACTCACTCACATCAGTTCAGTCTGGAGGCTCGCGTCGACCACAACGGGCTAATATATTTTATTCTCCGCGACTTTCCTAACCTTCTCTTCTTTTTTTCTTCTCCTCCATCACTGCCGTTAAATTATCGTTTTAAAAATCGTTCCTAAATATTAGAGACGGGAGTTTTATGTGTAGTGTATCGCCGACAACGAACGAAAATCAAAAGATCACAAGAAAGAGAAAAAGTTAAAAAAAAGTTACTCGATATTACGAGGATTGATGGTTGTTTTAGATGGACGACAGTTTAGAAGAAATTTATCGATGAAAGAAAAAAATAAAATCGATTCTAACGTAATTTCTATATTTCTTTCTCTTTATTTTTAAAATAGAAATATAACATCTTCGTCGATCTGTTCTCGATCTTTTCGACGAATAAAATCCCGCGTTATTTGACATTTTTAAAATCGACCAATCATGAAAGCTAATTGGAAACATCGCGAAATTAACCACGAATAATAAAGTTCAGTGTTTAGCAGTGCGAGATATATTATTTGAATACGAAGATATAAAGTGAGATAAAAAATAGAGACGACATTATATAAAGAGAAATATAGAAAAAGATAAAACATAATGTTTGACAATAGTTGATAATATATCGTTCGTAGAGAACATAAAGATGGATGATTTCCAAAATTGGCGACACTCTATGACGTGACGAACGGAATCCAAAAGTGGAAGTCGTCGAACCGGTGTCTTCGTATTGGTAGACAACAAAAAATAGACAGAGAGAAAGAGAAAGAAATAAGAAAAGGAAGAGGAGAAGAAGAAGAAGAAGAAGAAGAAACGAGAAAGGTAGAAAGAAAGAAAGGAAGAAAACAGGATCATTGGGATGTCGACGTACGCGAGGTGGACCTTAAGGTCGTCGAGGACGAGAAACGAAAGTTCGATAGGTCGACTAAGACCAATTTCAAAAGTCCAGTATTTTTCGCGCGCTTTGCGTCATTGACGATCGATCGATCGATCGATCAACCAATCAATCGAGCCTTAGACGAATTATTTCGTACCACCCCTTAACTCCGCTTTTTTTTATATTTCCTTTTATTTTATTTTATTATTTTTCCTTCCTCTCTTCTGTTTCGTTTCTTTCGTATTTTTATTATTTTCCCCTTAATTCCAAGTTTTAATTTAATCAACGGGACGCGAGTGAACTCGATTATTCATCGAGTAGAGTTTACCCCCCTCTTCACCCCACCTCGTCACGTTCGACATTGTGCCGCGGGCATCCTGGAATCCTCATCGATTTGTATCTTCTATTTCGAAGTTTCGGCGTTAACGGAACAGCAGGTAAAACAAAATAAAAAAAAAACAAGCAAATATATTTTTGTATCGTTATACGAAATTTTTATATTTTTTTATTGTATTCAATTATTTTGGTATGGTCGTTTGAAATCGCTAATTTATGTTTTACGAAGAATAAAAATGATCTACGTATTTTTACGAAATATAATTTATCATTAATTAATTTTGTTACTCTTTAAACACGTTAAACATATGAATATTTATTTAATCTCATTTCATATCAATCGCAATATTTAAAATTTGTATATAGATCGAGATCACATTGACTGATTTAACCGCAAAGAGATCAAGATGGCGCCATGTCGTGCACGCGCGCGTAGAAATTCTATGGTTATTACATTCTCGTAAGACTTTCAAGGGCGTTGCCGATATATCTGAAATATATAATATATTTAATATCAAAAGTCAAATGAAAGGATCAACAAAAGATAGAATAATAAAAAAATAATTTAAGCAAGAGAAAAAAAATAACCAACAGATATCATCTCTGGTATAAATAAAGTTCCATTAGCTTTTTTTAACATTTTCTTTGTTTTTTTTTTTCATCTCTTATATCAAAATGCATAACATTTTGTTATAAAAACAATTTCGAAGGCAGGACATTATGGTTAAACGGGAAATTGCGTATAGGGAATACATTTTCTCCCGTTTAATCATAACCAGTGGCGTAGGAAGCACGCGACAATTATGGTATCTAATAGTCGCTTTAATGACGATGGATTATTCAATGGAAAACGAGCTCAAGGCTTGTCGTCATCATCATCATCATCATCATCGATTCGACATTATTATCATCATCATCATCATCGTCGTCGTAGTTGTAGTCGTTATCATGTTCGTGGGCGAGCTTTAACCAAATATGCAAGTGCCCAAGGATCGACAAGCGACCTACGCTAAAGCTATATATATATATATATATATATATATATATTACATATATATATATAATAGGTATATACATATATAGGTATATCAATCTCGTGCGTTAGACAAATCCGTGAAGGAGATCGCGTTCGTGAAAAGCGAAAGTAATATCGGAAGAAATAGTTATCCCGGATTGGTGTTACGTAAGTTAATAAAAAAATAAAAAAGAAAATAGTAAAACCAACAAAATTACGTATTTACCTACTCGTCAAAGAAAATATCCGACTTTCAATGATGCGTTTAAACTACGTAAACGTTACAATAAACGCATGATTATTTTTAATGAATGCTTTCCAAATTTATTAGCTGGATTCCAAAAGAACATAAGTGTATATGCGGGAGTTGATATACGTTGAACTTGAGACCTAATAAAATCGAGGAGAAGGCATTGAAGTCTCTACTGGTGGTGATTTCAACGCCTGATAATTTTCTCCGATTACATTCTACGTACCGATTATACTTATATATAGATATAGTTAGATATCCGACACACACACACTGTAATAATAAGCAAGATTCGCAATCAATATTCCAACTCTGTTCTATTTCGCATACACAATATTAGGAAAATAATCGTATATTTCAATTTACAAATTGTAGCTTGTAATAATCGACTCGTGTTCAATTTTAAATAGGCTTACGTGTGTTCTCAGAGACCTTGAAATTTTCGGTTCCCTTGTTCTTTCGTTTGAATATCAAGAGGGTCGGATCAGCCAACCGCGTGACATCTGTTTCCGTGAACAAACTTTGCCCTCATGGTTAATTCATTTGATTACCATTCTTCTTTTCTTTATTTTTTTCTCCTCCCACATATTATTTGAATCAAAAAATAACATCGAAATATGATCGTAAATTATATTAAATTCATAAAAAAAAAAGGAAATAAAATAATTTGTTTAGATAAATCGTTGATAAATAGATAAATATATTATAATATGATAAAGAGTTATTTGCCAGAGATTTATTCGATACAGCCCTGGCCGTGATAGTAACAAATCGTGTTACAGCCCTGTAATAGAAGCATCCTAGCGGTACGAAGACATAGAAGAAGGTGGAAAGGCAACAGAATCTCGCGAGATGTCGATCCGACACCATTATCGATACCAAACTCGAGAATTAATATTTTCTATATACGTATCAAAGATATATTATCGAATAGGAAAGGGAAAACAAAAATGAAAAGAATTAATTTAACGTGCCCGTTCGATCGCAAGTGCGTGCAAAATGGCGGCTGACGCTCGACTTCGATCACGGTGGTCCCCTCGTTTACGGTCGAGGTCGTGTTGTTCTCCGTTTTTCTTTTTTTTTATCTTCCCTTTAATTTTATTTTTCTTTATCTTCTCCTACTACTAATTCCTCTTCTTCTTATTCTTATTCTTTTTTCTTCTTCTTCTTCTTCTACTACTTCTAATTTTTTTTCCTTCTCTAATATTTCTCTTCTACTATCTCATTCTCGATTCTTCGTTTATAAAAAGTGAACGTTGCGTTAGGCTCACATTTATGGGAGTTAACTCGTGTGTTTGCTTTCTCACGCGACGATACTACGATAGTGTTTGAGAATTTCTACTAACCCTTCTAAAAACGTGTTGGTATTGATGTATACGTAAAACGAATCTTTCAATGTGTATATATACGTGTGTGTGTGTGTGTGTAACTACCGGCATTACTATCAGAAACGACCTTAACCCTCGTGGAATCTCATGCCGTTCTGTTCTCCGATCTTTACAATTAATGTGTTCAACATTTCTTTTCATTTTAAAGAACCTATCTGTCGATTATCTTAAAAAATGTGTTCTCTTTTTATAGACAATAAAAAATAATGATTAAATACGGTACGTTGAAGAAAAATTCTCAATTTTTTTTTTCTA